TTTAAATTCTTTCGAAACCCTGTGCTCAGCCAAACAAAACATGTCTGCCGGCCGCTCTGCCCGCGTCCCGAGGCCCGGTTCCGGAAGAGATCAGGGTCAGGACAAAGCCAAAGTGGCCTCCTGTGACTGAGACAGGGTTGGGGGAGAACTGGCGAGTGGGCTCCTCTGCCTGGCTAAGGGTTCTGGCTCTCCCTGGGACGGTGCGTGGGGGAGCCAGGAGGGCAGCTGGGCTGTTGCAGACCTGGGGAGGCAGAGTCTGGCACACAGTGGCGGGAGTTCAGGGTTCCAGGTCTGCTTAGCAGAGGGGGGAGTCCAAGATTCCAGGTCTGCCTGGAGGGGAGGTTCAGGGTCCAGATCTGCCTGGATGGGAGGTTCAGGGTCCAGGTCTGCCTGGATGGGAGGTTCAGGGTCCAGGTCTGCCTGGAGGGGAAGTCCAAGATTCCAGGTCTGCCTGGAGGGGAGGTTCAGGGTCCAGGTCTGCCTGGAGGGGAGGTTCAAGGTCCAGGTCTGCCTGGATGGGGAGGTTCAGGGTTCCAGGTTTGCCTAGGGGAGGGGGGAGTTCAGGGTTCCAGGTCTGCCTAGGGTCAGGCTGAGGTCGAGGAGCAGACACTGCTCAGGCTGTTCCACATAAGAGGGGTTGCTACAAAGAGGCAGAGCTCCCCAGGGAAGCTCAGGACAGGCAGAGAAGGCTGCCCCCCGGAGCTGCCCACTCTCACAAAGCTGCCTTCTCCTGCCCTGTCTGCTCCGGGGTGATCTCCACTGAGTGGCTGCTCCCCTTGTTCTAGCTCCCCAACGATATTGGGGCATCGTACCCATTTGGACTGACTCTCAATGGACTCAAGGCTCCAGGGCCCACTAGGAGTCCTACCTGTGAGCTCCTATCAGGAAGGGGATCGGAACCATGTTTCCTTCCCAGGCCTGCCTCAATTCATAGTCTCAGGAGAGCAAATCTGACTGGCTGAGCCAGGCTGTGTAGATGGCTCAACAACTCTAATCTCAGCACTTTAGGAGGCCAAGGCAGGAGGACCCCTTGAGGCCAGGAGTTCGAGACCAGCCTGGGAAACATAGTGAGACCTCCTTTGCTATAAAAAAATTAAAAAGTTAGCCAGGTATGGTGGTGTGCACCGGTGGTCCCAGCTACTCGGTTGGCTGATGTGGGAGGATCACTTGTGCCGAGGAGGTCGAGGCTGCAGTGAGCCATGATCACAACACTGCACTCCAGCCTAGGTAACAGAGCGAGACCCTGTCTCAAAAAATAAATTTTAAATTAAATTAAATTAAGAAGGCCGGGCGCAGTGGCTCACACCTGTAATCCCAGCACTTTGGGAGGCCGAGGCGGGCGGATCATGAGGTCAGGAGATCGAGACCATCCTGGCTAACACGGTGAAACCCCATCTCTACTAAAAATGCAAAAAATTAGCCGGGCGTGGTGGCGGGCGCCTGTAGTCCCAGCTACTTGGGAGGCTGAGGCAGGAGAATGGCAGGAACCTGGGAGGCGGAGCTTGCAGTGAGCTGAGATGGCGCCACTGTACTCCAGGCTGGGCGACTGAGCAAGACTCTGTCTCAGAAAAAAAAAAAAAAAAGAAAAAGAAAAACCCAACTATGTCCAGGGTATGATATCACCTGATACAATATGTCCCCCTTACCAGGCCTACCCTTTCCTCAAAGGCTGTAGATGGGGATAGGTGACCTGCAGGAGAGCTCATGACAGGCCTATGGTGGAGACTACTTGTCCTGACCCCACCCCCAAGCCCCACAGGCCCCTGTCTGGACCCTGAGAGCTACCAGGGTCCTGATGGACTTTTCTTTGTGTCTGCAGTCTCTAGGAGAGAGGAGCTCGCCTATGCAATGCAGGAAGTTGCAGCTTTAGAGCAGAGCACAGAGGGAATCACCTCCCAGGGGAGCCAGGACCAGGGGGTCAGGAGTGTAGGGTCTAGAAGGCAGGGTGAGCACCTGGAGCCTGCTGAGACCTGGGGTCAGAGGCCTGAGAGTTCAGGCAGGGAGACCCCAGTGCCAGGAAGTACCAGGCAAAGCACAAGGAATCCCAGAACCCAAGTGGCATAGAGGCCACAGGATAGTCAGGCCCGATGGTGGCTGTGAGCTGAGCAGTCATGGGGGGATCTAGGAAGCTAGTGAGGCAGACCCAGTGGTAGAAGACATGGCCCGGAGCCTTCAGAATATGGGGCTACAATCCAGAGGCCCTGGGGCAAAGCGTGTGAGAATCTGACCCCAGGCCCAGAGTTTTGGGAACGCAGGGGCCGGGAATCCTTCCTGGTGGACAGCAGATGTTGTCCTGCTCAGCTGGAGAAGTCCCAGGCTGGGTGCATGGGAAACTCCCCCAAAGCTGGCTGAGGGCTCTAGGTCCCCGTGGAAACGCAGATGGCAAAGGAGGACCTGCTGGAGTCATGGCAGACGAGAGCCCCGAACCCCATTCCACCCTCAAGTCAGCTTCCTCTCAGCAGGCAGGGACCTGGTCACAGTCCTCACAGGGCCATCTCCTGCCTCAGTTGCCTCCACCTCCAGCCTAGAGGCAGGACAGGCATCACTGGCCCCTTGGATGGCTGAGAGCAGAGACTCGGAGAGGGAAATGAGCACGGTGTGGAGGTGAGGTTGGGCTGGGCCTGAGGGTCCTGAGAGTTCCTGTAGGCTGCGCACTGAGGAGGCCCAGGGCCCCGGGCAGCTGCTTCCCTCTCAGCCTGGAGGCCCCGGGATGCCTGTGGCAGCCCCTCTTCGAGAGCCCCCTCCCCAGGGCCATGCAGATGTGCTGCTCCCCAAAGGGCCGCCCTGCCCACCAGGCCCCCTGTGAGCTCCCCAAGGCTTGTCAGGGTCACCAAGGGGTCCCCAGAACCCAGCTTAGAGCTTGGCTCATGGGAACCTTCAGAGGATCTTTAGTATGTTTGCTGAATGATCATATCCAGAGAGCTCAGGAGACCTGGGATCCATGCTACTTCGCTGTGCCAGGAGTCCTTGGGGCAGGGACCAGTTTCTGGTCACCTGTGGGTCCCAGGGCCCAACCCATGTAAGGAGTCCATGCAGGGAGGCTCCAGCTGAGAGGCCCTCCACGGAAGCGGTCAGGGAAACCCACCCTTAGCCTTTGGGAGAGGGGCCTGGCCCCGCTGGAAGCTGCATCTTCTATACCTAGGTCTTGTCGGCCCAATGCCTCCTGGCACCAGTGCACAGGGTGGGATGGGGGTCCAGAGGCAGGCTCAGGAGCACTGAGCCCCCGCAGACTCTTGGTCACCTCTCCGAGGCTGTTTCTATAGCCCAAAGGGTTTGCTATCTCCTGATGCCATTTACATAAAGTACAGGACCGGGCAGACGAATTAGTGTGTTGGAAGTCACGGCGACGGTGCCCTTGGGGGAACCGGCTGGCACGAGGGAGGTGGCGGAGGCTGGGGACTGGATGGCGACGCTCTGCCGCTCGGTCTGGGCGCAGGTTATTTTGTGAAAGTTTCCCGAAAATGTGTTGAGCTGTGCTCGAAGGACAGGTGCACTTCCCTGTCCGCGTTTGCACTTCAGTAAAGTTTGAAACTGTGAACCAGCAGAGGAGATGCAGCAAGAGCAGTAGCAGGCGAGTCTCTCCCAGTGACAGCCCCCACCCTGCGCGGGGCAGCCTCCGTGTTGCCATGGAAACTGACCTCGGAGACAACGATTCTGGGCTGGGGTGGGGGCTCTGCGGGGGTCCGGACCTGCATTCCTGTGGACGGGCACCCTCCGCGTGGATGGCACCCTCCAGGCCAGAGCCGTGCGCGCTTCCTGAGCCGCCCTGCGGGAGGTGGA